TATGCCAGACTGTTCCAGGTATTTTTCCACTGAAAAGTGAAACAGCTGTGAAGTACTGCTTGGACATTATGTCCAACTCATCAATTGCATCAGGAGAGATATTGTACATCGAGAATCTAGATACACAGTCTCTTAGCTTAATAGCTATATACACTAAACAGAGAAGGCTCACAAGTAAGGATACATCATGGGAGTTCCCCAAAATTGCATTTATAAGGTACATAAATCCATGCAATAGTAACCTTGCATCCTTTCCTGTTAGTCGATAAGAGAAGTCTTTATCTTTGGCTAGTAACAATAAAAAAANGTCGTGGAGAGGAGATCATTAATATCTCAGTCTTATCACCATTTAATTTCAATTTATTTTGAACCATCCACATGTCAATGTCATGAACACAGGCTTCAACTTTGTGTTTTGCAATATTGAGCTCAACAAAGGATGATGAAGGAAAAGAAATGTAGAGTTGAGTGTCATCAGCATATAAGTGATACTCTAAACCATGAAGACGTATAACATTTGCAATGGGGGATATATACAGTGAAAACAAAATAGGTCCCAAAAGAGAACCCTGTGGAACACCACAATCAAAACTACGGGAAGTAGATGTGCCATCCTGTACACTAACATAGAACGTTCTGTAGCTTAGGTAGGATTTAAACCAATTATAAGCATTCCTAGTAATACCAAAATCTGAAAAAAGTCGATTTAATAATATTCGATGATTAACTGTGTCAAAAGCTGCAGATAAATCTAGAAGAACAAGAAAAACTGATTTGCGTTGATCGATTGCACGCAAAATGTCATTGTGAACTTTCAAGAGGGCTGTTTCGACACTATAATGTTTCTTATATGCCGATTGGAGTGGCAACTGAAGGTTATTCCGTTCGAGGTGGTCAACCAGCTGTGAGGCCACTACCTTTTCAATGGCTTTTGATAAAAACTTTAAATTTGAAATCGGTCTAAAACTTGAAAACTCCTCTGGTGGCAAGGTTTGCTTTTTAAGAAGTGGGTTTAATTACAGAAAGCTTAAGTGGTAAAGGCATTAATGCATTCTCCAAAGAAAGATTGATTATTTTAGTAATAATCGGGATTAATTGATCTATGCAAAGTTTTAAAGCTTTGCCAGGAAGAGGATCAAGACTGCACGACTTTGATACTAATGGAGAAATAATTTTCGAGACATACTCARTGGAAACCTYAGAAAAAGATGAAAGACTGTTGTTTAGTAAAGCAGGCTCGTTACCCAGGTAACAACTGACATTGACAAAATTACTTTGAATTGTTTTGATTTTTTCAACAAAAAAGTCAGCAAACGAATGCACGCTCTAGTGACCTCTAAACTTTTTCGGAAGAAGCTGATGGAAACTCTTTATCACCATTTTTGTTTGTGAGTCATCTTCTCAAAAGTAGAAAACAGCACTTTCTGGTCTCTGGTACTGGGACTAGGTGACTAATGGAGTAGGACGTACCCTGAAGAGCTCCGTCAAAAGTTTAGATTTTATGGCTGGGGGCCGTAATAAAAGGAAAAAAAGAAATAGTTCAAGMGGTTCGACTGAAACTCTTTCTCCTACGGAGAAGAAATACAAAGAGGAATTTGATTCACAAGCAATAAACGAGAGCAACGAGACTTCACAAGTAGGAACTATGGAGCACGTGGCGCCCAAACTGGACCAAATCCTGGAAAGGTTGTCGGGACTCGAAGGCAAACTGCAGATACTAGAGAACAAAATTGAAAATCAAACCCAGGCATCAGTAGAATTAAAAAACGAAATGTNTTTTCACATGCTTCATGAATTTCAAGGCGCTTTTGTGGACTATAGCAAACCAATCTCTCAGTCTTGTCATCTGAAGTTTGCATTTTACAATCAAAATATTTAGTTTTCTCCTTGTTTGATGCAATTTTAATAGGACTGACCACATGGATATATCCTTCCAAAGGTGTTTCTAAAAAAATGCAAACACATCATATAGATGACATAGATGATATGAATAAACTAAATATTTAATAAATGCTTTATTGCATACTGACCTTGTGTTTAGAAGACATATTTTCGCCTTTTTTTAATGATAGGAGTTAAAGGAATTCGTAGAGGTAAAATGAGATTATTGACATTTACACCACGTTGATAATAATCGCCGGAAGAAGAAGAAGAAGAAGACTCATTTCTACTGTCAGTGATAATCGAAGAGATGCTTCGGCGTTGTCTTTTGTGGTGACGACCAGCTCGATTTCCACGGGTATTTAGAATCCCAAAATGTTTCAAACACGAAAAGGCATCAGATGATAAATAAAATTTACCTTTAAGGCCAAGAAGATCCGATCGTGAGTAGGTTATTCTGTTGCTTTTAGTCAAGGTCGATAGATTTAAAAATGGCGCCAAGAGATGTTGTTGTGCAATCCATCTAAAGTCAGAAATATAGCTCCATCGAAAGGTCGGCATCGTAAAAAAATTCCTTAYAAGTATTTATAAAACATTTAAAAAGCTAAATGCATTAAAATGAGTGTAATAAGACTATAAAAAAAGTAGAAAAATCGAGTAAAATTTACGGAGCTCTTAGAAGTCATGCAGCCGTGTCCAGCGCATACATTAATTTAGGCACCATCCAATCGGGCATTTTGCAAAAAACTCTCAATGCAAACGTCAATTAGGAAGTTATCCACATATCTTTCTTCCACGAGATCACTKTAATTTAGGGGGTCAATAGATTTGCCTCTGATGGTCAAAATTTGCTTATTTGGCAATAAATTATGTAGGTTTGACTTAATATCACGCCTTTCAGATATACTAAGGGAAATGTTGCTATCCAACCATGCAAACTCGGCTGTGACCTTTTGTTTCATCATGGCAAGTCGACAAAATGTTTTCAAAACACTAAGACCATCTTGATCAARCACGCTGATCCCTTCAATTCTTATAAGCTTCATATGGCAGGGACTATTCCTGTTCCTAAGGATTTCCATGGCTTTATTTACAATAGTATGGCACGGGCGCATARACAATAAGTATGGATTTGTGACTTTCCCACATGCTAGTGAGCACTTTAAAGTTTTTCTTGGAGACAATGCTGGAATCCTGTTAGCAGCTAAAGACATTTCTCTCCTTGTCATTGGACGGGAAAGACAGCTTTCCAAGTCATCTCCAACGTCCTTACCGCATCTTGTATTTGTGGATGACAGGTGGCTTAAAGGTGTACACGACGWTCTGTCTGAGGTTGGTGATGACGTACTAGTTGAAGAGGACAGGTGGCTTAAGGGTGTAGAAGGAAACGATGCACAAGATGACTCGGTTGGGCTTGTAGATGACWTAGTAGTTGGGGAGGGCGGATAGCAAGTAGGTGTAGATGGAATCGACGTRCACAATGATATGTCTRAGCTTTGTGGTGATGATGTACTAGTTGGGGAGGACAGATGGCTTGTGGGTGTCGATGGCATAGAAGTAAATGATAAATCTGACGTACTTGGTGATGATTCAATTGGTGGTGACATTTTTTTTTTTGATATCGAGGAATTTGGAGGTGTTCTTGGAAAAAAAAATTTTTGAGTGGATTCTCAGTTTCCTTGGCCATAGCAATCTGAAACATAACTTTGAATTCCCTTTCCCAATCWTCTATTGGATATTGTAGAATGTATGCAGCTTGAACAGCTTCGACTGACGTACCCTTCAGCTTGTCATACGTATACTCCAGGAAATCGCCTCCGCAAAGATTTGTGAACAGGTTATCAATTACCTTGATCCACACCGCATCTGTGTTTGAACAAGGAACTTCACTGTTCTTTGAGGACCAAACACCCTCGGAAATGGAAATTCTTTTTACCTGTGATTAAGCAACAGTTACACAAATACTGCACAACCCGAGGTTCTGTCAATATGATACTAGCAGATTTTAAATGGAAAACATTCATACTATAAAACTACGATTAACGATATCCCAGTATCTTATATAATAATAAAAACACTTTACGGAAATATGACCAGATAGTAAGTAAATTGAATCAATACCTTCTTCCAGACATTTCATTGCTTCACGGAAAGAGTATCTTAGCCCAAGAAAATATGTCGCATACCAATGAGTTTATATTTGATCCACTGTAAATTAAAAGATGGAAGAAATTGTGTTAAAAACCTCAAAACGTTTTACAGATTGGATTGTCCAGAGCCCATGCTCTATGGATTGCCAGGTGAATATCACCTAGTGTGATGATATGAAATGCAAAACAAATAATTTTCATGTATTGATATTCCATTCTGGATAAAATCAATCTGTCAGCTTACATGATTCTCCTTTACCACATGCATCATGATTTGTAGCTCTTGAGTAAAGTTGTCTATGTAATTTATGTGAAGATTCAAATCCTTGGCCAGAGTAGTGGCGAAGTGAGCGAAAACGTCTCAGCAGTTGAGCACTGTGGTCAATACAGAGATGGCCATAATCACCAAGCCCTAGTTGTACTCAAAATAACCTTTTCAGGAGATAACCCCACTCATTACACTGATGAGAAAACAATTTGTCTGTATTAATTACGATCAATGAAACAGTTGTTGTAGCTGTAATAGACTATAGTACTATTGATAATACAATATCTTAAATTAATTGTTMTATTTGCTCTCTGTTTAATGGTACCTCTCAGTCTTTAAACTCTCAAGGGTAGCAATTTCATAGAGATACTGATGCTGTGTGTTATGAGGCAAATTTGATTATTATAAATTAATTATTAATCATCAATGTTAATGCAATTTCAAAAACCTTAATTTCATGAATGTCAATTTCTTGTTCTTGAGAGTCCTCAAAGACATCATCACGCAAGGTTTCTGCAATTGCCTTCCAGTCAGTACACACCTTCACAAAAAATATAATAAATATCAATGTTATATTTAATGCTACTTAATTTTATGGTAAATAAAAGTTGGGTATAACTAAGGGAGTGTTAGACCAATTGGATTAGCCTATTTTGCCATGTGTGTGTACATTTACAACAGATAAAGTAGGCTCCGGCATTTTATGTACCGTACWTCATTTGTATATGTAGTCCTAYCTTGATGAAAAACTCAATAAATAGCTCAGCTGCATATAAAGCCAAAGCTTCCTGGTCTACTCTGGGTGCAGTTTTGCRCTTCTTTTTTGGAGGCTTCTGCTTTACTGCTGTACATTTCAGAAGATCAGCAAATTTGGCTGCAACCTCTTGCTGTTTTTCATCCCAATATGTAAGACATTTCATCAGATATTCCTGGTGTGCTAACAATAAAGTATGGTTCATCAAATAATACAATTAAACATTATTATTTATTACTACTTTTATATTTCAATAACCTTAACATTCACTCATGCCCAAATCTCAACATTATTTATTTTAGCACACAACAATTGCATGCATTTGCAGGGATGAAAACCAGCATAACCATGARTAGGAAGAGAACAAGCTTAAATCACATAATTTCTCCCTAAGTGCAACAGTCCAACTGATGTTTTGGGGTATTAGATGTTAAAAGATGATTTATGGGTGCAGATCTATGCTGTTCACTTCAAAATTTCTGAATCTTTGTACCACAGGCTTTTTTAGCATCATATTATAAAAAAACTATCCACACTATTTAATAAGCCTTTTCCTAATTAAATACCTGATAATCCTGCAATAGGAACGTCTTCCTGTTTTATTCCATCATCTCGCTTGAAAGTACCCTCGTTTAGGATGTCATCAATGTACTGAGCATAAATTGCAGTAATTACAGTGATCTGTATGCTTAATGAAAATGTTTTTAGCACTATCATTCACAACAATTGAAATTGTAAAACTGGAGGCTTTCAGTACGGATGCACAACTATTAAATATGAGTCTGAGAACTATATATATTGTTTTATAATCAAGGTCATTGAAAAAATATATTATATGTAAAGTTTATACAAAATGGCCTATCCTGGATGGATAGCTCTTTGTTGATTAAACACTTAATTTTTTTTATTTTTACCACTAATTTTTACACTGACAATATTAATATCTTTTTTTGTCAGAATAACATTATATTTTCAAAAGTTGTATGTAGTGTTTAAAAAATGAGCRGGAGTGCTTTATCAGGAGATATAGATATGAGGCCGAATGATGACCTTGAACATCAGTTCTAGTAATATCTGATATAGAACTGATTAATTAAACATCAGTGCTTTATCGGGATATAAAGGCCCATCATGTGACCCAATAGTTCGATGCTCATAGGACTAATAGCTCATGAATTATGAATGAGTTCTAGAAATTGAAGTTAATCTTAACCTGTAAAAGATGCAACTTTGATATTGTTTCGAGTAATATCAGATTCTTGACCAGGCTTAGACTTGATTTTTACCCTCTTGAATGTTTGGGAGACTTCTGGACCATAAGAGGCCAAAGCAGTATTCAGTGCCTCAAGTGTACCAATGCTGTGTGCAAAATAGCCTAATGATCCAATGAGCTGTTCAGTGTTTTGCATCTCACAGTGTAGTGAACACAAATTTATATGGCTAAGATCTTCTTCCAAAAGGAAAATCAAGTCATCTCTAATTCCGTCAGACCTAAAAACAAAACTACAATCACTTGTCAAAATCCAATATTTAAAACATTCATGAGGTAGATTATTCCAAAAATGCTGTACTTGTCTATATAGCTGTATGTCATGCCCAAACAAGACCATGTAATAAATTGTACTTGCAATTTGAAACTTAGGTCAAAAAACTCCTATCGAAGTTGTAAGTCCACAATTTTATTTATAAAAAAAATTGCTTTACCTTCCAATGTTTGCTTTAGCTTTTAAGAGACACATCGCGCAAAAATCAGACATATCTTGGCAAGGCTCGAAAAATCAAACTATTCATATTTTGTATATTGATAAGGTATGATTAGGTAACAATCGCTGTGTAATTGGTTTTTGAAAATATTTCATTTTTCGCAATATGAACAGATTTGATTTTTCGAGCCTTGCCAAAAAAATTCAGTTTTGTCTGGTTTTTGCGCGAAGCGGCTCTTAAGCAACTCACACATGTTTCAGGATTTGAGCCGTGGTCTACCCAAGGCTTTGAAAATAAAATTTGAAGTTAATTAATAAYRCAAATACAGCAACAACAACAGTTTATTTATGAAATCACTCTGATTACAATTGAAGTCAGCCCTCGCAGTTWGTCTAGGACTGTTAAAGAATTCACAGTTTTACAAGGGAGAAAAAAAAGATGGGGGAAAAAATAAGAGGAAGAGTATTAGGGTCAAAAGTGTGAATAATGTTTTTGCAAGGAATGATTAATCTAAATAATTAAACCCTTAAATACTCACACTAACTGCATCACAAAATGCACAAAATTCTACATCTAAGCCTTTTYCCCCAAGAGTAAACTCTTCTTGACCTTTCTTTGCCAGGAGTTATAGTAATGCCTTACAGTCTAAAGTAACGTTTTTGATAAAAACAGAAATTTATAAAATAAAGTCCTGATGACAAAATTGATACTAAAATAATTTAAGGTAATATTAATTTAATTGAATTACCTGTAAATTTGAGATAATATTTTTCTCCATCTACATCTATGCCATTATTCAGCTCAGCAATTAATTTTTTCAAATTGACTCTGCAAAAGAAATAAATAMAGCAAATTAATATTATATAATGCAATATAATAGAGAGCATTTAGATAAAAATAAATAGATGTTATAATCGGGAGTTGACATGCAATTCATTTTAAGAATGTATGTCACACAAGATAAAACAACCGAGATGCTGTAAATTATGCCTACATCTGTACGTGTGCATTTATAGATTTTTCAAAACCTTACCTGTCTTCTTTACAATTACCAATGGCAACTGGAAWTACTGATAGGGCACTTTCTGAGCTTTTCYCTTTAAGCCCAATYGGTACAATACCTACAGAAACTTGGTTTCTACCTGTAAAATAATTAAGTCATGATCATCACTTAAAAGTATCCCTTTTTTAAACAACATAATAAATGGTATTTCAATTAAATTGTAAAACTCTTTTTAGTATCAATACTACCTCCAAGAGGGCGCCCATCAATTTTAATATTGAATTCCATCTCCTTTTTCAAGTATTTACTCCCAAGATGTAAACGTTGCTCTCTAATGGCCCATGCAACAGCAGCATTTAAATCAACTGAGCATGCTTCAAAATCAGTTGACATGCTTTTAATTTTAAATTTTTTTCTTGAAATCTTGAATATTAATAGAGCTATTCCGTACCAATCGCTTTTGTTACCGTTGATATGTTAATTTACAAAGTAGTCCCATAGATATGCAAATGAACCTAATAATATTCTGGAAACAAAGTTATGCGGCGCTCAGTTAAATAGAMGCAAAGTTCTATTACTGATGGCAAAAGCCACCTCTCCTGGCGCCATATTCCAGAAATACATCTAAAATCTTTAAGATGCTTAAAAATATGTTCAACTTTTATGCGTTTTCTTGAAAGTTCGCGGTTAAAGCTTCGGGCTCTGAGCCTCTGCCTTAATGGTAAACGTCTAACTTGGATAGCACGAAATGGTGTTAGCAAGGGTGGAACGTCTGGGTAGCCTTTATCAGCCAGTAATACAGCATTGACAGGAAAGTTTWATGCCATTCCGGGTCCAATTGGTTCCATTAATCGAAATCATGAGTGCTTCCTAAAAACCCTGTTTGAAGGAAGSGAATATGTCCTTGATTATCGCAAACTAGTTGAGTGTTTAGAAGGTGATAATGCCTGTGACCACTATAGAACTCTCTCTGGGGTTCAGTAGAAGGAATGTATATTTCATGCGGAGTTACGTCTATACAACCCAGAGCATTAGGAAATTTGTTCCAAGTGTTTYGCATAGAGTTCCATTCCCTTATGCACAGTCCCTAAAATGACGCCAAAGAACCAAAATTCCTTGATTTAATAACGCACGAACAGTCTGAGGGCTTACATCAAATAACAAGGCTAGGGAGTCTAGATGTGCATATTTCCTAAGCCACATGAAAACAAGCAAAACGSGATTTATGATGCTCAGTTTGAATCTCCCAATTCTTCTTCTCGGATTTCCCTCCCTTGTTATAAGGGATAACTCAGGAGCAATTATGTAGGMAATTTGGAGGAGCGATTCCGGCGTTTCACCCGTATTCAACCAAAAGAGATAACGCTGTTGGCAAATCATAGAAAAGACATCACGGCCTCTAAACCTGTGCCCATGAAAATCTGGGAATAGTCTGTTACGAAGCAACATGCCATCACCAGGTAGCATAGGCGGAATGGATGATATCAAAAACATAAACTGCTGTAAGACATTTAAAAGCATAACCAAAATCTGCGTCTGTCGCTCTAATTCGTGCGATGTTATAGGGGGTGGTATCTGTAGTAATACTGAAGTCATCGCTTGAAGATACTGAAGGCTAAGAACTAGTATACGTATTCTTCTGTTATCCATGGCTTAATTTTGTCGAATATTAACATCAAGATTGTCAACTGCCTTGATGCAAAATACTGCCCAATGTTGGCTTTGAATACAGAAAGATCTAGCAATTGCGCACTAACACCATTGCGTCAAGACCGATATCATCTTTTGTTTATTCTGACATCTATCTATAAAAGGTTTTCAAAAAATGTACAAAGCAAATTATTTTGATAATACTTGCTCGTGGCAAAAATTCACACTTCAAGAACATGACCACGGCATAAATGTGCAACAATGAGTCTTGTGTATCTATAAAAAGGAACGTATTTTCACCGGTCAGCACATATTCTAGCATGGCTTTGAAGGGCTGCAGCCGAATGAAMATTAAGGTCGGTGAAACGGAGATAAACATTGTTATGGATGCCTATCATAAAATGGGACACMAGGGCTGGCGAGACATCCTCCATGTTGTCAAAGAAAAGATAGAAACCTCTGGCTTAAACTMGAGAATCGTGGACTATTACCTGGAAGGAGAAGACTCGATATCGGTTCGACGCATAAAACGAATTGTAAGAGAGCAGCTAAAAAAGCAAGCTGAAGAATATCGCGCGTTTAAGACGACCAGCGAGGGAAAAGCCACAAAGAGCAATGTGAAGGAGAAAAAAAGGACTCCGGATGAGAAGATGAAGGATAAGCTTCGTTTCTTTGTTGNTTAAGCCTATTATTAATCGTAACTACTTCTTACTCACTTCTTAAACTAACACTTCTCACATCTTCAACGACCGACCCCTTTTTTCTAATAAACGTGACCGTAACCTTCGTTCTTTCCTAGTCAAAGGTGTTTTACATTCTAATAATGATCCTGGCACTTTTCGTTGCTCACGCAAGCGCTGTAACACTTGTCCGTACATTGTCTCGCACACTTCCATTGTTGGTYCTAACTCGTCACTCAAAATCACTGATCACTTTGATTGTACCACCTCTAATGTTGTCTATTGCATTAAATGTTCGCTTTGTAATTTGTTGTATGTCGGTGAGACTGGCCGTCGTCTTGGCGATCGTATCTGTGAACATCTTCGTAGTATTCGTAAGAATGATCTCGATAAGCCTGTTTCCCGCCATTTTAACTTACCTAACCACTCTATTTCTAACTTTATTGTTTTTGGTTTGTCTTTGATTAGCGGCAATAATGATTGTCGCAAAACCAAAGAAATGCGGCTTATTCACCATTTGGGCACTTATAATCCCCATGGGTTGAATGAACGCTTTGTTTTCAGATAAGTTTTAATTCTTTTGTTTCCTGTTTAGCACCTTTATTGTTCTTTTGTCTTACACTTCCTTTGCTTTTTTGTTTATTTTTCGTTACCATGCCTACCTTGCTCCTATTGGTCTATTCTCTTTGTTACTCTTACTATATAAACTCACACTATACCTAGTTCTCTATCTTTACTCCGACGAAGGATTAACATCCGAAACGTCAGTAAGTTTTTCCACGTTCTATCAAAGGGGTTTGCAAACCAAGTGGACTTTTTGCTAGGAGAACATATTTTGACGCTACAAATTGATATGAAATTCAGTGTACTCTGCCGTCCTTCAAACTCAGATTTTGGCATTCATTTCAAAGCCATGTCATGTTTTGTGTCTTTTGTTTCCTCGTTGCGAAATTCTTTCAACTGTAAGATCGACAGTATCTACTAGTAAGTTCGTACGAGCAATTTCAGGGCTCTAGCTTACTATTTCGGCAACTTATAGACTTTTGACGCATAGGTCGAATTCGACCTAAATTTCAAGGGGCAGACGGGAAAGAGTTTAAAAGGAAAATAGAGAACATGTCATAGCTTACCCCACTTTTTCCTAGAAGTATTCAAGAGTGTTTGCCARGCTGAATCTGGGAGTTTTGCCTTCAACTTGAAGTACAATAGTGCCCAATCTGGAACTGTCATACTCTGATATAGACTAGTACAAGCATCATCACTGAACATGGACTCTATAGTACCTTTCCCTCCTTTCACACAAATAATCTTCTCCACAATATCTGACAACAGGCTTTTTGCTGTATCTGATGAATCAATGAGCATACTGGAAATTATAGTTGCCATGTCCTCTTTATTTTCTGCACAGGCCTTCTCCAGTTCTTCAAACACATGGGTGCAACGTGCAGTAATAAGTMTTCTCTTTGTGGTTGAACCTAGCGGACTACTTTTGATGTCGTTAATGCTCTGATGATCATGATCGAAGGAATTTTCTCTTGATTTTTTAGGCTCAAATTCATTTARTTTCGCCTTTAGAGCTGAAAGTTCTTTATCCCTTTGCTGCAATTCTGTGGTAAGGCGGTGGATTGCGCTACTTTCATCTTGCTGATAGGTTGTTTTCATTTTGGCGGGATTTTCCCAGTGAAGCCCATTCAACCTTTCGACTGCAGTTTTGAAGGGTTCTGACTCGAAMAATACTGGGGTGCTTTCCATTTGTCAAAAGATTCCAGGAATTTCGGGTGGAATGATAATGGTTAGGTGATTTTTYGGAATTTCCATTCAGAATTTTCGGATAACCTCCAGACGTTGCCTTGAATTTCCAATTAGATATATTCGAACGGATTTTACGTAACCATTACAGAAAAGATCGGTTCCAGTCCTTCTCACACAGTCTTGTACATATGTTCAAGATGTCGGACTACTTTCAGTGTGAAGTCTGCGGAGCTTTTACCGTCACTTTAGAGGGCCTTCTTTTCTCAGTTCCTAGATATTTTGAGAAATAAGAAGGAGTAGGAGAGAAAAAAACATTGCTAAGTTATGAATATAGTTGTATGAACATTNTTTTTTTATTTTATTTAAAAAGTGTTTATCTTGCCTGTACTTGGATAGAATGAAATTTTTTACGATTGACATATACATCTGGCTTTTCAAGAGGTGCACGAATGCGAATGTGTGTCCCATCGATTATACCAACAACTCCAGGGAATCCCCTTTCGTTAAACACCTCTTGTATTGCATCCATTCTTCTGTCTAGAGATAGTAATGGAGATGTAGAAGTTTAAAAGGAATTTAACAACACGCCAACAGAAAATAATGTTTTGATTCACCTACCATTTGGCCACTTAATGTAATTAGGTAAAAGATCCACCAGGGCCTTAGAACCCCTGTGCAAGACTCTGGAAACACTACTCATGGTTATGTCAAATCGATCAGAAATTGACCGAGCACATTCTTTGTTGGCCAGGCACCAAACAAAGACAAGAATCTGTTTCTCAGGAGGGATCGCCGGTCGTCCTCTTACAGTGTTAGTAGGTATTTTGCCTGTATTTATCATTTCTTGGCAAAGGATCTCCATTGTGGTACGACTCATTCTGAAGTGACTTTTGAATTCGCTGSGGAAGTACTGTGGGACAGTTTCTTGAAAAAATCCAGTAATTCTTGTGAGATCCCTTCTCATGAAACTGCAAATTGCAATAATGATCTCTATGTCGTCCTCATCTTCCATAGAGGGCTCAGCTTCCATAAACGAATCAACAATCGGCAAAAGCCACTCGTTCGCCATTTTGAAACCACAGGGATTCCAATTATGCACATTTCCGATCGAATATAATGGTAAAGACAGTTCCATCTGGTTTTTTCCACTATGGTCGAAAAGCCTAACCATTATGCATCGGACATTCCAACCGGATTTTCGGATAAATGGAAAGCACCCCTGATGACAAGTCCTTTTGACGAAGCATACCGATAAAAAGACCGAATGCAGAGCAGAGATGTACATGAGATGGCTTCCTCTGAAGTTTCTCGCCATTTTGTGATAAAGCTGCTTCGTATCTTGTTGATGTCCCGCCATTTTTAGTACACAAATCTGAAGTCGGAACATGCTTAATTTCTTCAGGAAAATGAGAAAATATAGCGTTCTTTGCGAAATCTCTTGGTCGCACACCGCAAAATTCTTTGGACAAGGCATACCAATGCTTTGAGGGATCCAAATTGGAGCCCCAAACACGATCGATCTCCATCACTCCATCCTTGGCGCCAAATGACACGATTGCTATAGGAGCTCATCTTAAAAACTTGAAATTCCCGCTAAAGTACAGTGTTGACTTTCAAGTTTAATTTTTAGCCAGGGAACTATTGTACNTCGAAAAGCCTAACCATTATGCATCGGACATTCCAACCGGATTTTCGGATAAATGGAAAGCACCCCTGATGACAAGTCCTTTTGACGAAGCATACCGATAAAAAGACCGAATGCAGAGCAGAGATGTACATGAGATGGCTTCCTCTGAAGTTTCTCGCCATTTTGTGATAAAGCTGCTTCGTATCTTGTTGATGTCCCGCCATTTTTAGTACACAAATCAAACAAACAAATGTTCGACATCAACATTGCCGTTACAACCAGGCGTTCCAAACAAGTAGGTACCAGGTTTTATGTACTAAGTTTTCCACAGCCAACCCAGATAAAATCACTGACAAAGCAGYCGATCATGAACAGTTTTTTGAGTAAAAGGAAAGTAATAAATGTATTCCAATTGTTTCTTAAATGTAGTGAGCTTCGTGTTCATGATTAAGAAGCAATTTGATGTTAAAAGATTAAAAGCTSTTTTTATTTGACTATGTTAGAAATATGCAAATAGCTAATTAGCGTGCGTCATAACTATTAATAATGGTAATTGAACTGAGTGGAGTGCAATTTGGTCTGAAATCAAACGCGCGATTACAAAATCGCACGACTCAATCTCGTTTAGATCTATACCGATTTTCGGTTGTGTAACGTCTATTCTTTGTGCCTTGTTGCGTTTATACCCACATAGCTGGCCTCGGCCTCTTCTTTGTYAGCCACTAACTTGACGAGTACCCCCTGCATCGCCGYACTGGTCACCAATGGACGACACTGTCTCAGAATCACTGCGTATCTATTCGCCTGCTTGTCCTTCTTCTCTCTAGCACAATCCACCAAGTGTTCAAGCGCGGCAAGAGCTGCGTATGGGTCAAACAACGCCGGCGGCTTTGAGACCAGTAACTGGAGGCTAGACAAAGCTGACTCCACCTGTGCAGTATCGGCTTTAGCGCTCATCGCTCTCAATTGGCCCTG